CATCCCTGAAACCACCCAATATTTTTCCAGGTATCCCCATTATCCCATAACTATTAGATATATAATCCCAATATATCCCAATATATCCCCACCCAAAAGTTGCTACTGAAAAAACCAGTGGTTTGGGGATCCTCCATTTGAAGACCGCTAGCGTAACCTGGACCTTCCGGCTGCGTGGCAGCGGAGGCATCGGTGACGTAGCCACCGCTGTGGGTGTACTTCAGGGACTTGGGCCTGGCTGTCCAAGTTTTGACCACTGCAATGTGGTAAAAAACCACTCATGAACTACCGGATACTTCACCAAACTTGTCTAAAGAGATACAACAAAATACTAAACATGGTAAAACACGGATACTTCACCAACAAAGAAACCAACCACTGGAGCTCATAAAGCCATCTACTTTTCAGGTGGGGCCCGATCACTCTGTGGAGTCGTGTCTTGCTGGCTGTCTACCCTGTGGCCTTTCTTTTTCGCGGGGGATGGAGACATTCAAAAAACTATGTGTGACTGCAACGTCCAACGTGCTTGGGACATTCTGAATTTGTGTAGCATACTTTCCTGGCAGTTCACATCAAAGTGGATATGTTTCTCTTTTGATGTTCTCATGCAATAGAAGGTCTATTTTTTCAAATTTCCACCTTTTCATTACCCGGAGGGTATTTGCCTCTGCATCTGACGGTTATTTTGGGCGATTTTACAAGTCCCATGGAAACAACTACAACACACTTGCAATCAAACATACAACCATACGACCTACACATTTATGGCCATTTGCAGGTGCTTCATATCATACCATCACGTGGGTTCGTCTGAAAATAAGGTAATTACCCCCAAATCCTATCATTATCTTCCCTTGCAACATGGCCATAACTGGCGGTATACACCATTTTCAGACTCATCCATATCATATACCCTCTGGTAAACAAACATAACTATTGAAAATAACCATTTATACTGGATTCACCAATTAAAAATGGTGATTTTCCATAGTTAATTATTTCTATGTTTACCAGAGGGTAACCATATCTTCCAACCACTTCTTTTTGGGGAGTTTCCACCCGAAAGTGCTGTTGGCACCTCTGGAACACCATTCCATGCCGGCCACTGGCCATGCCGTGGGAGGGCATCCTGCAGATGCGGATGTGAAGGATGTAACACCAAATCAGGTAGAGGTTTGGTGATTTGGATATACCCTCTACATGCTGTAATCTAATATTAGATATATCTATATATGAGGTTTGTGTAGATCTAATTTTCTTTTTGCGGGAAAAGGGAGAACCTCATATATAGGGACATGCTTTATTGAATGGAGAATGACCAGCTTCACTTGAGTGGACAACCTTGGTGCCCGACTTACCGGAGCATCAAAGGTGGTCACATCGACCAAACTCCCGAAATCAACGTGCTGGACGCAGCAGTTCATTTCCTCGATGAAGCCATCCACTATTGTGGGGATCTTTGAATGTGAAGCATATCCATATGCCTGTGGCTCAAAATGACGACCTCCCCCAGACAAGATGCTTCAATCCTAAAGAACAAAGCAAGTTTTGTGGCTCCATTCGTGCCCCCATGCCCCCCAACTTTTGAGCGATGTAAAATTAGCAAATCAGCCAAATCAAAAGGTTTTTGAGCAACCAATCAAGACTGGGTGCATTCTGCCATAGAATTGGGTTAATTGGGTACACACCCAAAAAAAGGTCAGGGACCAAACGCAGAGAACGCATACTTCTATGGAGAGATTTAATCAATTTTAACTGGCTGGTTGTTTCAACCCGTCTGAAAAATATTAGTCAGTTGGGATTATTATCTCAATATATGGAAAAATGTTCGAAACCACCAACCAGTTAATCTTGATTTGATGGGATAAACCACCAATAGTTCCCCACCTGCCAGGTCCCTAAATTTTTTCAGAAGTGCTGCCCACCTCCGCCTGCCTCTGCCTGCCTCCGCCTCGACCCCCTCCGCCTCGGTCTCCCCTTCTGCGTCAACTGCAAGCTCCAGATCTCAGTGGGCACTGCCGGACCCCAACAGCGAGCGCCAGATGTCAGTGGGCGCTGCCCCACCTCAACCGCGAGTGCCAGAGCTCAGTGGGCACTGCGGGACCTCAATTGCGAGTGCAAGATGTCACATAGAATGTCAGATAGAATGTGAGAAGAGATATATCAGATAGAATGCCTGATAGAATGCCAGAAAGAATGTCAGAATATACATGCCAGATAGAATGTCAGAAACATGTCAGAATATATGGAAGATAGAATGTCATGGTGGGGATCACTCGAAGAAGTTATTATTATTATTATTATTGTGCTGATTATTCTTATATATATATACACATTTATAAAATATTAATATATACATATATAAATAATATATATATATAACTATATAACTACATGTATGTATGTATGTATGCATGCATGCATGGATGCATGGATGGATGGATGGATGTATGGATGTATGGATGTATGGATGTATGGATGGATGGATGGATGGATGGGTGGATGTATGGATGTATGGATGTATGGATGTATTGATGTATGGATGTATGGATGTATGGATGTACGGATGTATGGATGTATGGATGTATGGATGGATGTATGGATGTATGGATGTATGGATGTACGGATGTATGGATGTATGGATGTATGGATGGATGGATGGATGTATGGATGTATGGATGTATGGATGTATGGATGTATGTATGTATGTATGTTTGTTTGTATGTATGTATGTATGTATGTATGTGTATATATATATATGTGTATGTGTATGTGTATGTGTATATGTATATAAATGTGTCTATATATTTGGGATACAGTCCTGCCATTAGACTTGAAGCCAAAAAAGAGCTGCTCCTGATGCGTCCATCCAAGACAGCTTCGGGCTTAGCCACATCCTGGAGCGAGCTTAACGACAGCCCCAAAGGGGACCCTTGGGACAACGGGTTCAGAACATGTTGGAACTTAAGTAACTACCATGATCATGCTTAACTATGGATTAGTTAGCTATGGATTAACTAACTATAGATTGACAATGGGTTAACTATGGATTGGAACATGTTCAAAGTAAGTAACAATCATCCATAGTCATGGATTAACCATTGACACAGTTCTAAGGCTTAGATAAACAGCAAAACTTGGATTTACTGAGCAATGATATGGATAACTAGAAGTGATTTTATTGATTAGCTTAATGACTAACTATGATAGCTGTTCTAACCTTGGGTTCTGCTGAGGGAATGAGGATCTATGGAGGAATTGGGAGACTTTGCTGAATTCACAATGAAAAATGTCCCGATTTTGCAGTGAAAGCAACACAATTTGGGTCCAATTTCTGAGATGAAAAACATCTCTTGGTGATCTGGGAATCATAGAAACAGTGATCTTGGTGTTTGAGTTTCTGATGGACTTCCATACAGCTATGTCGATATTCCATTTTACACACAAGTTGATAAATACTCAAATATCAAGCTTTGAATTTTGACCGATAAAAAAATAGGCTTCCCATCTGGTCCATTGCCTCTTCAGGGCTTGGAGGGCTTGGCATCTCATCACCTGGCAGCACTGGTACAGTTTTCAGCGTCGGTTGTGCTGGTTTTCCCTCATCCAAGTAGCAATATGTATATATATATATATAGTACTCTATACATATATAGCACAAATATATATATATATATGTATGATATGATATGATATGATATAATATATAATATATAATATATAATATATAATAAATAATATATACTATAACATAATATAATATAATAAAATAAAATATAATATAATATAAAGTATATTGTCATGACTCGAGGATTTTTGCCATCACTGCAGGCTCCGTGATCCTGGTGCAGCCATCTCCTGGGTCTCATCGAAATCTTCAATCATTTTCCACAGCGACATCCAAGGGACATCCATTGCTTAATGTACTTTAATATATGGTAAATATATATGGTTAATAGACTGTTAATATATGGTTAATGATGGTTAATTAGCTATACTGGTTGGTGGTTGAGCCCAACCCCTCTGAAAAATGATGCAGTTAAAGTCAGTTGGGGTTACTATTCCCAATATATGGAATAAATGTTCCAAACCACCAACCAGTATAGTAACTAACCTCCCTTAAAAAAAACATCATTTGAAGCTTTTCAAAGTCAAACAACAAAAACACGGGGCTTTATGGATGGTTGGAGTGAGGCTATTCTGTTTGTTTTCTGGAAGTGTGGGGCGATCTGGCTTTCCATGGTGGCTGCGGTCACGGACCGTTTGGCTGAATTATGCATCCTTCCCTCAAGCACATTCAGATCGAATTTTCCGGCACACTTTGCGTCAAGTGGGATGAGTTCACATAGTTCACATCTTCCCCCTGCCTTTCCTACTTTGACCAGCCAAATTACGTGTTGCAAAATGCCGGATTTGGTGCGCAATGAACACCGTCAAAAAATCTGACGGACCATTTTCGGAGTCACAAGGGTCATTTGCACTTCTGTTCTCCAACAGTGTGGACATGGATAGCAAAAAGCCAAATGACTCCAATGTCCGCGCAAATTGCTTGTACAGGAGACGAGATCTGCAATTCTGTATCTTTGGCCGTGGCTGCATGGATGATAACAACGTTGAAAACATCTACCACATCCATCGAACAGAGCAGAACAAAAAATAAAACAGTGCCATAGAGCCATTGAGGCGTGCTGGATGGCTAGCACCAATTTTCTGGATGGCTTCCAAGCAAATTTCAACGCCTCAACCAGTCGTAATCTCCCGCAAACGAATACAACAATAGAAAATCCCTGCAGATGATCGATCTCTTCCAAAGATGCGGATTTCGCAGCTAAGTGAAGGTACCAGATATTGGGCCTGGCATGCGAATTATCAATTCCTTATCATATTCGCAAGCCAGTCTTCCTATGATTACTATTTCAGACCACTATATCTTATTGATGTATGACTTCTATCGAATTGACCCACTTCTTCTCAGCATTTCTCGTTGAACGGGGCAGATCTCATCCTCTTCGCATGGCCTTTCGTGTGACGGTGCGGCCACCGCTGGACTTGCGCTTCTTGCAGTGAAGCTCCTTGGTGGAGGGCAGGGCTGGGGAAGGGAGCTGGGGATGGAGTTGCTGAAATCCTGGAAAGTTGCTGGAAGTTTCCCAACCCAAACCACGACATATATCTTGATGCTTCAGGTAGAATCATCACAGTTCATGAGAGTGTCATTTCAAGCATATGTGGATATAGGTGGTATTTCCCAGTTGGTCCCAGTTGGCCCCGGCAACTATAGATATATCTCCCATAAATCCACACAATGTGGGGCCCCCCAGTGATGTTAGTTGGTTTATAACCCCCCATAACTATAGTTATTTGCGTACCATAAACCATAGTTATTGGAGTTATTTGCACCAACTTGGCTATCTTGGGGGCCCCACATTGTACACCTCCTAATTCGACTGCTTTCAAACCAACTTAGCTAAGCAGGGGGCACCCCATGAGCCTTCGCCGCCAAGATGCCGAAGCTTTCACTTTCAAACGTTCGATGATCACCTGACCGTTTTTAGCGAAAAGCCCTTTCAAGCTCGATGCTAAGGACTTCATATCAAAAAAAAACATAAAGAACCATGGTTTTTTAAGGGTGTTTTAAGCGTCTAAACTTCTAAAGCCTCTATTCGAAACGCATGGCGTCAACGAATCCGCATTGATGGCTGCCAAGTCGACACGATGCCGAAATCCTGAAAATGCCACAGTGTTTTCACAGGATGGGGCCCCTTAAGAAAGCGTGAACCGTTGGTTTAGAAGTGGCTGAATTCAATGGTTTATGGTAGATATAACCAGAGTTAATGGGGATTATTTCATGGTTTATAAACCAACTTTTAACTGGGGGGCCCCATCCTGCAGAGTTTGCCTACTTTTTTCGGTTTGTTTATAGGGATTTCCAGTTGTTCCGGATTTTGATACGCCCTAAGATTGTTAGGGTAGAACCATTTTACAGCATCTTTTGGGGTATACCCAATTTCATAAACCCAATTGGGGATAGTTTATTAATGGTTATTGTTGGGTTCTAGCTCATTTGTATCTTCTAACAGGGGCTATAAACTGGTTTATAAACCTATTACCCTCTGGTAATTTAAAATAGCTATGGAAAATCACAATTTTTAATGGGAAAATCCACTATTAATGGTCATTTTCAATAGCTATGTTAAATTACCAGAGGGTAAGTAGTTCGTTATATACCCCTAATCAACCCAACAGTTCACCAAGGGTGCACTGCGCATCAACATCTCGAAAAAAATCGTAAGGCCACCTCACCTTGCGTATCCTATCAACAACCAGTAATATCAATTTGACATCCCAATATATCCAGTCATATCCCAAATATACTCGCTTTTTTGTGGGTTATTTCCTCTATGTCTTAAGTGATTATAATAAAAATGCTTCATCATACAATGGTTCATCATTCATAAATGGCTAATCCTTAATCAACATGTCAACAGGTCATGAATGGCTAAGAATCATCATTCACTAAAAATTACCCACTAATAATTACCCATTCATGTGTTGGGAATATCAACAGGTCATGATCGTCGCCTCGTACAACATCTCGCCAAGAAATCCATGGCGACGATCGCAGTCGCCACAGTGGGGCTCGAAGCCGGTCAGCAAGTCGTTGATGCACCTGGGTCAAACGTGGTAAAACCTGCATGCCCTGCCTGGGAGCTTTCGGGATTTTTCAACAGAACTCACAGCAAATTGAGGAAAATGCAAGGTAATTGAACGGCACATGAATTTGGTGAATGGATCATGGTACATGAAAAGACCAGTAGCAGCAAACTAGCATGGCTGTGTTCCAAGAATGGGTATACCCACCTTTACATGCCTTTACTGGATTTATTTCATTGGAACATAAGCCAATGTCCATGTCATGATGGGCTTCTCCTGCTTACCAGAAACCTTGAGACATTTGTTATAGTGGCCGTCAGCCATCTCAGGGTTTTCACTCCAGGTTTGAGCACGCTGGACCCCAGTGTATAGGAGAAAACCATCCACATGGGATGCTCGTGAAAGCATTTCCATCCAATGGCTATCAGTGCCAATTACTAGTGTATAGTTGGTATCATGCATGACTTTTTGATGTTCAGTATTGGTATTCAACATTAATCAATGGTACACAACATGGTAAAAGTCATGATCATTCTCCAACGTTCATTCATTTTCCCATGGCATTTTCCATTGTTCATGGCAATTTTCGTCCCCGTCCACCATGGAGGTTGCCATTTTGCCCCAGGTGCTCATCGTCTTTGAGGTACTCCAACCTGATTTTTCAGGCTCATGAGGATACCAAGCTCGATCGATGGTTTACATGGACAATCCCAGCTATGGATGACTGAGGATAGCCATGACTTAGGAAACCCCGAAAAAATCGGACAGCCCAAAATGGTGAAACCATTGTGGATGACCTGCTGGAAATTTGCACTGCGAATTACAAAAACCGGTGGTTGGAAAGGCTTGGAATTGTACTTCAAAGTGGCAAGAGATGTGAGTCTTAGGATCTTAAGATTCCAAGTGTTTCTGGCAAGAAATGATTGAACATACCTACTATATCATCTGTAGGTGAAGATCAAGCTGTCTTCACCACATGCACAGAGGTAATAACACATTCATACATCACATTTGTAGGCATTGTATAGAGATATACATATTGAATATGTAGAGATATGATATATCATACACATAAACCCACTAACGAGTTCGTTATATCCCCCATTTTTAAACCCAAACGTTCAGGAAGTTCTCTGCGTCACCTGCCGGGATTTCCATCATTTCCACCAGCTGCGAAAACAATGAACCAGCATTTTGCGCAACAACTGGTTGATGAACCAACATTAACTAACATCAACATGAACTAACATCAACATGAACTAACATTAACCAACATTAACATGAACTAACATTAACCAACATGAACTAACATTGACATTCCAACATTAACTAACATCAACATGAACTAACATGAATCACAAGGGGCTGAAACAGCTGATTTCGAGCCGTTGGAGCTTTCTGAAAGCTGATGTCCTTGGCCACGCCACGCTGGAAAATCATGGGGAGGTTTTCCCGATTCGGGGGAGACTCACGCCGTAGGACCCCTATGTGTCAGAAACACATGACATATGTACACACACATACCACCATATATCATATATCTACATATGTCTACATATAATCACGTATATATATATAATATAACTATGTATATAATATAACAATATATATATATAATATATCTATATATGTATTAGAAGATGGGTATGTATATATATATATATAATATCAATATCACATGTGTACGTACATATTCATACAAAGACAATTAAAGGACGGTGGTATTTCTGTAATAAGCAAGCAAGGTGAAGTTGATAGAGTTTTTGCCTAGGCACATCGCTGGGTTGCGGCAACTCCCGTCCTCGGCGGTGGGACCGGCGTTGGCCCCGTTGGCCCCGTTGGTCCCCAAAAAAAGATCGAAAAAAATGGGATTTGTTTGAAATAGATGGCACAACCATTTCTGATTTCTTTTTGTAAAAATTCTGAGCACATAATTGTAGCTATGTTTAGTATGATGTAGTGGCCTTGACCCCATTTAAGAGTTCACTTTTAAATCATGCGTTTGCCTGGAAAAGAACATCCGCAGTAGCAGAATTCTGGGGTTGTTGCTAAACAGGCCGGCAGCATTGTCCTTCTCCATAGGAATGCGCATAGTTGACACGTCAGGAAGCTACTCTACTTTCACATATAAGCATTTGTAAGCATTAGTAAAGCTTATTCATGGCCAGCAGCTTTTCAGCAAGCGCTTGACTTTGAACTGCCTAAAATTCAATACTCCCCAATCCACAAATGTTGACAATCTTTCATATTGACCATCTAGTTTGTGTTTCTCAATGTATTTGAAATCCGCCCAACATGTTCAAACAAGAAATTGAGACCAACTTTCGGCCGAGAAAGACATAAGTCAAGTTTCCTCTGCCTCGAAAGGACTCGTCTTTGAAGTGGATCACCTGACATGGCAATGCCTCATCAGGTGCCACTCGTGGATCAAAGCCCAAGCGCGTGTAGGCCTGCCATGGTCACGGTCGTCCGGTTGGGATGGTGTGGGATTATCAGCTGGCCTCTGATTTGACCTATGGATCTGGGTAAATTTGTCACGAACCTGAAATCTTGCGGCCATAAAAGGGGGTGAAGTCCCGAATAAAAAGCCGACCATGATTCCCAGGGTTCGGGAGATCAGGGTTCGGGAGATCTGATCAACTTCACCCAGATGGATGGATCTAGCTGGATGGATGGATGGATGGATGATAGAACCAGAGAGACCCTGTTTTTTTTTGGGTTGGCTTGAATCTTCATTTTCGATCTGCGAATCTCCTACTGATGACTAAACAGAACCACAGCGCCTGCTGCCATGGTCCGTCCTTCCACCTGAGGGTTGCAATTCCTAGAAACCAAGAGATGTCCAGGCAATTATGATCGGGTTCATAAGCAAAACCATGCAGCAAGTTGACATATTTATGGAACATGGCCCATTTATAGATGATTTTTACCTATTAAACAACGGTGATTTTCCACAGCTATGTTAGGGTACCAGAGGGTAACCTGGTGTGTTCCGCGAAGGTGCTTTTGTTCTTTGGGTGCAGCACCGAAGTCATTAATCAATGGATTGGTTTAAGAGAACATCTACAGTAACGCCTGGCTATTACCCCCCAAATATAGGGCTTTCCTGTAATTTATTTCCATCCAAGCAACATTACTCATTAACCATCTTTTACACACCGCTGCGGCTCCTTATGCACGCTTCGTGCTATTTGGTGAATGACAATAAACCATCAAACGCGTCGAAATCAATGAGCAGATCATGACATCTACTTTCATTCAACTGGATGTTAAGGGAACATCTACAGGACGCCGCCATATTTCATGGGAAAAAAAACTGGTTGGTGGTTGACCTACCCTCTGAAAAATATGAAAGTCAATGGGAAGGATTATCCCATATATATATATATTATGGAAAACATAAAATGTTTGAAACCACCAACCAGAAACATGGCTACCGGCTTCGATGTTTGCAACCAAACCATTGACGGCTTCGCTGGTCCAAGTAGCTGATAAGCCACGAAAGGTATGAGCCGCTTGAACCTACGCGGATGGAAAGATATGGAAACGCTGACGCAACTTCCGAAGGGTACTGTATTTCTGGTATAGTTCACCTTTGACCATTTAAGAGATAGCTATGGAAAATGGATGAACATGGCCTATGCATAGATGATTTGCCCATCAAAAACTTGGTGATCTTCTAGGGCAAAGCGCTAAATAACCAGATGGTAATCGCCAGTGATGCGTCGTCCACAACCTGCTCAGTTGAGGCCTATCACCTACACATTTCAAGCCTTGAATCGTATGAGGTTACATAACTTACAAAACTCGTTGAAACCATTGGTCAATCAGAACTGTTTTTACACAGAGGATGCAGGTTTCACATGCTTCATGACAAAACATCTATTAAATCTATCAAAATTACATTAAATCACCTTTTGGAGGGATTAAGCACTATTCAACCACCGCTTCCATTGTTGTTTGACCCACCATTTCCGTGGGGAAATCTTTGACACCTGTTTCATCTGTTTGGCCCTGCCTGTCAGCGTCCATGGTGCGAAGGAAGACGGGAGACTGCTGCAAGGCTGGCTCTAACCAAATTGGCCATTCCCAAAAGACGCGGACCTCGCAACAGAAATTGCGCTTTTTCGGCAAGAAACATGGGGATTTTAAGTGTCAACATTTGGGCTTGAACTGATATGGCTTTGGCCAAAACTTGGTGATACAGCTTGCAATGTTAACAGATGTTAACAGGGAAAATGATGATAGATGGGCTTTTGCGGCAATTCTTAGGTATACCATGGCGGCGGGGATGGGTCGAGTGAGTTTTCTGCGTTCTTCATCAGTGTTCTAGCGATGTTATGAGGGATCATCCAGCCCAACAAATCCGGCTTCCACGGTCTAGAGATAACTTGGGCGATGAGATTGAGACTTTCTGCAGAAGTCAGCAGAAAATCTGGCCGGTTGGTGAGATCATGCTTGAACATCCCAAACTACACATTTTCTGATCATAAGATGAACAACATCTGTCAGTGGATTTTGCCTCTGCCTTTGGGAAACACAAACTTAGTGGATGGTTGGTGCCTTCAGCACCCCCATGGATACCTGATGGATCTCAATCTTTTGCCTCAAGAGCACTAAGTCTCTAAGTTCAATCGCCGACAAAATTGGATCTTTTTTTCAGAGATCCATCAGGAACTGAGTATAACTGAGTCCTGTAAGGTGCAACCTGGACCTAGATTCCTAGATAATTCGGCAGAAGATTTCATGGTTGGCTGATACCCTCTGGTGAACTAACATAGCAATGGAAAATCACAATTTTTAATGGGAAAATCCACTATTTCTATAGCCATTTTCCATTGCTATGTTAGTTCACCAGAGGCTAATCCAGCATCTGCCAGTTGCGAGGTGCTTCTTTACCTCCCCAAAATAACACGTGCGAAGTGCAGGGCTTCTTCCCAGGATGATGGTCAAATCCAGGCCATGGCACCAGATTCGCCAGAAACGTCGAGTCCTGCGGCGACAGCAACATGGCTGGGGGATCATACTTCAAACCAGCCACAGGAATGTCATGAACCAGGATTTCGATGGGTTTTCTCACTCAATAGGATCAACATCATCTCGGGCATGGCCTCAGGTGAACCATCTGTACCACACATCAAAAAAGTGCAAAGCAATGCGCACGGCTTTCTGTGCATTTCTCAATCAGTTCATGGCAAATCAAGCATGAAATGCACTCAAGCATACTTCTCAATTTCAATGGGAAATTCAGGATCCTAAAATGGAGGTACTGTACCATATAAGGCTATATTTTGAGGGTATATCCCCTTACATAGCCCTTACATAGGCCTTATATATGGTAGGTACCTCCAATCAATCGGATCCTGAAATTCCCATTGACTGAACCACAACGAGATCTATGAAACTATGAACCCATCCTTGGACAGATCCACATCCACGAAATCCTACTTTTTTTCGCTTCTGTTTCCTGGTCTCTAATTTGACACCATGTTCAATATTGTCAATACATGGCTGACACTCTACGTAAATGTTATATATATATATATACATAATAATATATATATATGTATATAAGAAATATGGATATAATATATACAATAAATATACATATCTATATATATAAATACAATAAATAAATGAATAAAAAAATAAAAAAATAAATAAAATAGATAAATACATAAATAAATAAATTAAAAACAAAATAAATAAATAATTAAATTAAAAAACAATAATTTAAAAACAAAATAAATAAATAAATTAAAAACAAAATAAATAAATAAATAAATAAATGAATAAATAAATAAATGAATAAATAAATAAATAAATAAATAAATAAAATATGTAATATTAGACACAGACCCCGAGGTTTGCCCAAGCCCAGAATAGCGTAAATACCAGGGAATTCTGTACGACGTCAAACAACGGGCTATGTTCAATAATGCTGATAGGGTGTTTACCAGAACATGTTGCTTCTACATATCCTATGGAATTAACCATGCAGTCATTAGTCATTAGGGTTTCTTTTAGGGTTTCAAGAAGATATCAAAATCATCATCGTCGTCGTCGTCGTCATCGTCATCGTCATCTTTGCTTGCCCGGACGCTTGTTGCGAGTCCGGGCAAACCTCAGGGTCTTGCCGTAATATTATATTAAATTATTATACATATTATATATGTATATACTATGTAGTATATCTAATATAATTAATATATATATAATATAATATAATATAATATAATATAATATAATATAATAGATATATATATAATAGTATATAATATATAATATATAATATATCATAAATAATCTATAATATATAATATATAAATAAACAAACACTAAATAAATGAGTAAATAAATGAATAAATACGTAAATAAATAAATAAACAAATAAATAAACAACTAAATAAATCAATAAAATAAATAACTAAATAAATAACTATATAACTAAATAAATAAATAAGTAAATAAATAAGTAAATACATCAATAAATAAACAAATAAATAAATAAACACAAATAACTAAATAAATGACTATATAACCAACTAACTAAATAAATAAATAAGTAAACATAAACAACAAGCAAAACAATTAATAAATATTATGTATATTATATATATATGGCAGTGTGTCAAAACCTTGTACCCCTGGTGAACATCATATAGCTGGTAAATGGATGTTCATCCCACTAAAAATGATAGTAATAGGTTTTGACCCACTGCCATATATATACACCCAAACTATCCCAAAGTCGATTCTGGGACTTTTCAGCCTTCAGCATCTTGGGGAGACTTGGCAGATGTTGACCCATCACCATCTCCCTCCTGGCGATTGTAGATCTCGCCCGCCGCTTCAGCTGCTTCCTCTCGCTGGGCAACTGATGAAAAAGAAACAGAAAGGGTGAAAGCTTGACTCGTTTTCAGGTCTGATTTTGTTTTCAGAAGTGAAATTATTTAAAATCTTGAAACCATTTTTTTTTGCATTTTTGGTGTCTAAGATTTTGGGCTCGTTTTCAGATCCAAATTTGTGGCGATCGCTGGAACGCTCTACCGGGACGTTTCTTGGAAGAGAATGCACAGCATGGGCTCAACTATTCCCAATGTCACCAAGTACATATGTACCCTCTGGTTATGACTAACATAGCCATGGGAAATGGCCCATTTATAGATGGTTTACCTCTTAAAAATGGTGGATCTTTCCATGGCGAACTGTTAAATAACCAGAGGGCACATCATCTACCAATGGCGGATCCCGACTGAAACCACCAAGGGCCACCAGGCCGGGCCACCAATGGCCTGTGCGCTGGTCACAGGAGGCATCGGTACAGTCTTTGCGTCGAACTTGATGCAGCGCATCTTCAGAAAGACCTGGAGGCCAGGCCATCATTCGCTTAACGAACATGGTACAAAAATTGACTTGGGATTTTAAAAGTACCATTTTCAACTGATACAATTGGACAACAACTGGTACCATTTTCATTTAAAAGTACCATTGTATTTTTCAACTGAAAAACGTTGGCTTTCAATATGAAAACTGTCCCTGCCAATGCCGAGATTTACATCTCGATTTTGTGGAGGTTTCCAGGAAAGACATGCTCAGCATAAACCGTCCCCCAGTCATCACCATTTTTATAGGTGGGATTTCAACCATTCCCAGTCATGGATGGTAAACATGACATTGTTTTAACCACTCACTACTTTTCTTGAGTCTAGCTATCTGCTCTAATCTCAATCCAAGCTCAGCTGAACTTGCAACATGATCCCTTCATGGCAAAACGTACATGGTCCCTGCCAAAGTTTCAACATTTTCAGTGGGATATGACACCTTCTCCAATCCAATGACAAAACAATAACGTATTATCATTGCCAATCTTAGATAGCCTGCAAAAAATGACAAATTCTTTGCTGGTGAACGTAGATGTTCCCATTAATACCAAAAGACTAGTTAGGATTAAAGTATCCATGTAAGATTGACCTAGAGTCTTATCCCATTTTTTTTTCTTGGTCAAGTTCCCACCAGTTGATCCCCGTTGATCTCCCGAAAAATCGCCGGGCCTCTGGGCTCTCCACCGCCTCTGCTTCGTTCTTCGACACCTCCTCTTCGACGTCGCTGGCGGCCTCCACGTCGGAGTCCACCGTAGGTAGCGGTGCCGCTGGCGCGGTGAGGAGCCGGTTCCACTGTAAGCCCTGCCTCAAAACGTGGTGGTTAAGGATGGGACGAAGCTCGAAAATGGGTTGAAATTATGTTGAATGTGAGTTTAATGATGTTTAACGAATTGTTTTGGCTGTAAGTGGTAAACTAGCAAAGCTGCTGTAGTCCGACTATAGTAGAATTGACTGCATCCTACTTTGGATGCTTCAAAAAAGTCAGGCCTTCTACTTGTCGTGGGCTATCCCACCTTGGATTCCTGTGGCTGCTGATGCAATGCCAGTGGTCGATGCATATCTTCCCCACAATTTCATGCTGTATATCGTAATCTCCAAAAAATTGGCTTATTTACCTATCCTAACATGTCCTTTCTATTTCCACCAAAAAAACCCTCTGAGTTTTGGGCTCTTAGCTCGGTCTCCGTTCAGTCACCGAGGCACTCCTTCAGGGCCGGCAGCTTCAACTCTGAGGCTAGGTGCATCACGTCCTGGCGGAAAACCGATAGGTTTTCTATTGGAAAACATGGGAAAAGACGTATCTGGTTGGTGGTTGAGCCCTGCCCCTTCTGGAAAATGATGGACTTCGTCAGTTGGGATGATGAAATTCCCAACTGAATGGAAAAATAGAATTCATGTTCCAAACCACCAACCAGGTATCATTTGTGCAGATGAGATTTTTGGTGATGTGCCACTTTGATGTTTTTTCTTTTGAATTTTTGGTTGTAGATTTCCTACCTGTTTTTTGGTGGATCAGGCCTTGCAGGTGTCTGTGGTGACCTCTCGTTCCATCCAAGTGGGTCGAGCATAGAGGAAGTCCAGCAAAATGCGCACCTTGAAATCGATGGATTGGTTTTGTTGGGAAAATCGAAACCGGAAACCATCGATTTTCCCATGAAATTCATGGGGCTTTCCTGTAATTTTTCCCAACAAAACCACTCCATTGCATCCAGGAACTGGGGCGAACTGGTGGATTTACCCACCCCAAATTTATGATAAACGATGGAGGAAAATTCGAATCAACAATGGGATTTTGGTAGCTCCATTTTCGGACAAACCCCCTTGGCTGATTTTGAAAATTTGGACAGGTTCCAAAGTACAAACTTTCTTGGCTGAAAGGCTACGCGATCCATCTTACGTTTTCTTTACCCTCTGGTAAACTAACATAGCAATGGAAAATCACAATTTTTAATGGGAAAATCCACTATAAATGGCCATGTTCAATAGCTATGTTAAATTACCAGAGGGTACCCAAAGGGAACACAGAAACGGATAGGTCTAGGAGCAGAGGGTCTGCTTTCTTCAGGTCCGGTATGGTCCAATCCTCCCTTCACATGCCTTGTTGATGAAGTTCCAAGCCGTTGTTGATTGACTCCTATCTGGTTGGTGGTTTTAACCATCTTGAAAAATATGAAAGTCAATGGGAAGGATTATCCCTATATATATATATATGTATGTATGTATGTATATGGAAAATAGCAAATGTTTGAAACCACCAACCAGCTATTTTTTGTTGCTGATTTTTGTCTTTTTGCCGGTGTTTCTCCAATTGTTGTCTTTCCAACCCCCCAGTTCTTCTCAACTTATCTACACTTCACATTCAACTCTAGACTCTAGCCGCTTCATGGTGTATTTCGTATCCCCTTCCAACCCATCTCGGCAAACCATCATAAATCTCAAACCAGAAACAATCAGAAATAACACAGTTTCTATATACCCTCTGGTAAACTAACATAGCTATGGAAAATCACCATTTTTAATGGGTAAATCAATTATAAATGGGCCATTTCCAATAGCTACGTTAAATTACCAGAGGGTAGACGTTTCCTAAGTCATGGGGATCCCCCCAAATCATCCAGTCGTCATGGATGACCATGACGACCAGTATTGTCACCATGGTGATGACTGGGGATCCCCCTCAGAAGCCCATTTCGGCAAAGCAAAGCTTATTCTCAAATCCGAAGCCTTAAATCCACAGTTTCAATCAGATGAAAATGATAATCTCGTTATTGGTGGTTTCAACCCCTCTGAAAAATATGAAAGTCAAATGGGAGTATGAAATTCCCAATATATGGAAAAACATAAAACATGTTCCAAACCACCAACCAGTGATTCTCATTTCTTGGTGATGTTGATCAATTCTCCAATTTTTCGGTCACCCGGATGATGAGATTTTTCCAACCCAGCTGGGTCCTGAATCTTGTGGCAAAAGGGGATGATTTCCCGAATAAAAAACCATATGATTTCCAGGCTTCGGGAGAACAGGCTTCGGTCGTGATCAAATTTACCCATGTATATATATATATAAATCTGATTAAAGATGTATGATATATATTGTAATATTTCATTTTTCAACATTCATCCCCAAAGAATTTTGTACATGTACACTAAACTTTACCCAGATAATTTACATTACCCTACTAAGCACATCTTTTGATAAAGAAGCACAACCATTAATAACAATCTAGTTGGTGGTTTCAACCCCTCTGAAAAATATGAAAGTCAGTTGGGATGATCAAATTCCCAATATATGGAAAGTCATAAAACATGTTCCAAACCCCCAACCAGAAACACTAGCCTCTGGTAATTTAACATAGCTATTGAAAATGGCCCAGTCGAAATAGTGAGTTTTCCCATAAAAAACATGGTGATTTTCCATAGTTTTTTGTATGTTTACCAGATGGGTAGGCCATAAACTCACCATCTTTAGGGGCGAGCTCTTCTCTCGCGGAGGTCGCGTTTAGCGTTGAAAAACCGATGGCCGCGGCACCGCTTCGGCGCTCTTCACGCCTCGGAGCTCCAGCTCCAGAGGCTGCGTTGAGAAAGCCACCTCCTGGAGTCCTAACCTGGAAAGATACGCGCGAAAAAGGGGGCATCACAGGTGGTTAGGTTAAAATTCCCCAAAAAATATGGGAAAATGAAGGGAACATCATAGGAAATATCTAGGAAAAATATGGGAATTTCCTCTGTACATGGAGGTTTCTAGCTGGGAAAGTCATCTAGAAATGGTGGAGTTTCCAGCGCGTCATGTTTGATTCCCGGAGACTAGCTCGAGTTTGAATCGAACTCTGCCCAATTGGTTTTCTATGGACAGCGCCTGGTTGCCAGGAGCAAGTGGTGGTTGATCTTTCACAGGACCCATGTAGGGCAATAATGCCTCTTATATCCTCTTATGAAGACTCAGTCATGACTTGCCAATTTCTAACCAAATGGAGGCAAAAACCATGTTGCGACATCCTCATGCTTTCTGCCAACATTTTATGGGACTTCAAAAAAGGACAGCAAAAAAATCGCAAAAACCATGGCTTTCCCTGCTTTTTTTTCCCCTTTCCGAGCCGAGGAGCTGTTTCTTTCCTCGGCCGCTGGATCGTGCAATCTACTTTGTTTTGGACATCTTTGATCATCACATCATGGCTAACCTCAAATACATACATCTGGGTAAATTATCATATTTCACTAACCTGAATCTTGCGGCCATTTGGGGATGATTTCCCTTATTAACCATGATTCCAGTGAGGGAGATCAGTGAGGTCGTTATAATTTTCCCAGATACATACCTGGCAAGGGGCACTTTAAACAGGATACACCATGTTCCTTCATCAAAACTAGCAAATCAACCGATTAATCCGAAAAAAATCAATCATGGAGCCCATTTTTGTTGCTTCCAAATTCATTGTCCTTGTTGATAAAATCGGATTCTCCGGTGAATTCTTTATGTCGCAATTTTACATCATTTTTTGGGTCTGACTCATGATCGTCACATGGTAATCGATCATAGCTTTGTGCAGAAATATAGTAATCTCCACATCCGGATTCAAGGCCATTTCAATAGCACCATTTCGTTTTCCCCATGACAATGACTATTTTTATGGCATTTCTATGACTTTTCCTCAACTTCCTGGAGGGTCGTCCCTTGGTCTGTTTGGAACCTGGCACTTTTTGCGACGAGGATCCGTCTAAGATTAAGGTGCGAAATGGGTCACCCCCTGCTGCGGCCAAAATCACTTGATGTGCGGCCTTGGCCGTTGTGACATGTCGCTAGGTCCCAGCTACCCTCTGGTCATCGAGAACTGGAAAAACAAAACCATTTTTAAGAACGGCACATCATCATGTTCATCATTTCTATGGGCCCTTTTTTTCCACGACTATGTTAAATAAACAGAGGCTAACAAAACTGGATGAAGTCCAGTGAAAAAGATGGGCTTCTGCAGTTCCAATCATGATCCTAAACAGCTGACAGTTGACAGCGATCACAGGGTAACCTGGCATATCTAGTACCCTCTGGTAATTTAACGTAGCTATGGAAAATCACCATTTTTTATGGGAAAATCAACTATTAATGGCCATTTTCAATAGCTATGTTAAATTACCAGAGTGTAAATCCTTTACATACCCAAACGGTGCATTTCTTAAATTAAAGCATTGAAATCATGCCCTAAACCTTCAAAATGAGGCTGCTACCAGGAGGAAATGGGATTCGAGTATGACTAGCCATCACGAAAAAAAAACACTTGCACAGGGTTAGTTTGTGTCATCCCATACTTCTAGACCCTCATTCGATATCAGTCTCATCAGCCTTTCCATTCTTCCTTTCTCAACCCAAGGAGAGTTGGAAAAACCATAAACGTTTAAAAACCACCACGCAGATCTACCCCCAAAACCAAGCGGCAAAGTGTTCAGTACCAACGCTGAGAAGCATATCACCTTGGAAAGCCATCGGGAAAGCCATTGGGAAAGCCAGTGGATTGCAATCCGTTGACTTACCCGGCCTGGTAAACATAGAAAAAGCGAACTGGAAAGATCCACCATGCTATGAAAATGGGAAAATCAACTAAATTTCTATGGCAATTTTCAATAGCTACGTTAGTCATTACCAGAGGGTACTGTTGATTTGTAAGTTGCAATTGCCATGGCTCACAGTTGAGAAGGCTTGCGGATTCTGACAACCTTTGGTCGGTAACCAGCAAAACCATCGGTTGAAAAAACATCCCCATTCCCTGTTCTAATCCCCATTTATTGCAAAACCCAAGTCATGACTCTGACTATTATCCCATCATGAACCCAACATTTTGCATATTCAGAATTCCACAACATCCCAAAAAATCATATCCAGTTACATTCCGATGATCTTCCATCGGAACTTCCTACGCCGTGGCCAGAAACGATCTCCCCAGCGACCCAGCGACACAACTGCCCCTTGGCTTGCAGCTGCTGCAGTTGCCCCCTTGGTGCCGGCTTAGCGGTGCTGCCATGGATGTTTTCACATCGCAGTTTCCGATTCCCAAGCTCGCTGGATGGCTTATTTCATGGAAACTCCCAATCTAAAATGGATGATGTAGGGGTACCCCCATGACTAAACGGAAACCTCCTATGCATCATCCCTAAAAGTTCGAGCAGCAACGCGTAGCGAACTGGGATTACCATGGCTGGCTTTTCAACATGAAATAACACCTTCAACTGCCAATAAGTGTCTTTGAATGTGGTGGTTCTGTTCATCTTGGAGTCTCATACGGAGGCTTTTGTTGGGTGGATTGGAGTAGTCAACCTCTCCATACATAAATAACATGGCATGGATGATGAACACCTTGCAAGCCTTTCTTCTGACAGATTCCTGGTCCACACCATATGATTTGTGGTTTCAACGCCGAAAAAGGTCACTCACTGTCGATCACCCCATTTCTTGGTTCTGTTGTTGTAGGTGATGTGCCCTTGAATGTGGATATACCATGGTGTACCCCAAAGTATCTGGTTAGATGAACTCCTCATCGAATATACCCCTAAGGCTTAGTTTAAATCCCAGTTGATATCTGGTCCAATCCCCTTTTTCTGAATAACTGGACCACTTAATCATGAAAGCATAAATTTCAAACCTGCTTTTGAAAACAGTTTTTGGGTGATATTCATGACCGGAAATTGGCAAAACAATTCACGAATGAAGTGCCAATATTTTCCAGTTCTATAATTACCACTATGATCAAACATACGTATTTTTACCAGTGTTTCATCAATGTTAACCAGTCTTCACCAATTTTGAGTAATGATATTCAATCATGTAGTAATGCATCTGGGTATGTATGAAAATGGGGTACACCCCAGAAGTGCAATTTTAACATGGAATATGATGATAGAACATCGGATTCCGGGGGGAGTCTATTTTCAGACAAAGCCTCATGCGAGAACTTCAGAAGCAGGGGAAAAAACCGGGAACAAACGATCATATAATAATTCTTTGAATAATTATCAGCTTTTTCTGATTCATGAATCGATCTATGACTAATCTATGAGTAATCTACGATTCATCTATCATAATCACTTCTCTATTCCACTGATTATCCATGAATCAACCAACCTCTATCATCACCGTCCGTCGCCCGGCTACAAGAGATCTGAAGCGGAAATGCCGTGGCCGTTCAGCTGCTGCTCCTGCACAGATGATAGTAGAGGATAGTAGAGGAGAATGGTAGATGATGGTTCTGAATGAATATCGTAGGGTATGATAATGATATATGATAGATGATGATTCTGGATACTAACTATTCTTCTGGTATGATGGTCATAGAAAGGGATCATAGTTAGATGATGATCGTAGACGTTTCGTTTTTTTGGCAGCAGGATGCAATAGGATGCCGAACATGAGCAGCACCTGCTGGTTTTCAAGGCCCTTCAAAACATGAAAGGCCATTGAGCAGTGGTCAACACCCTTCGTTCTCCATATTTCGGCTGGTTGATCGGATTCTTTCCCGTGGATTGTGATCCCCAGTATATGGAGGTTTCCTAAGTAGGACCCCCATCCATTTTCGGATCGATGAAATCATGGCCAGCCACCCTGCAGATGAACAATTCTTAGCTGGTGAATTAGTAGATATTCCATGATGTTCCCATACCAATAGACAAGTTTCGGATGAGTTTCTACCCAGTCGACTTAGAAATCAACCATCCAGCGAGGAGGTACCCCCAGCTTGACCAAAGCCTCAATTTTTTTTTGCCCCCTCCTTGGATTCAGGTCCCTGAAAATAAATCCTGGGCTTTTTGCGGAATGCGCCGGGATGGAGGAGTGGATTTTGACCATATCTATACTGGTTGCTGGTATACCCCTCTGAAAAATGATGGAGTTAAAGTCACTTGGGGTTATGAAATTCCCAATATATGGGGAACATGTTCCAAACCACCAACCAGTATAGTATGTGCATATCATCTAGGAACGAAAACTGTATGATGATATATGATGATGCATAGGTACGCATCTGAACTTCTCTGCTGCATATGGGTGTCTACAAATCTACAAAACCCCTTGGATGACAGTAGAAAATGCCACAACGATATCTCCATATATTGACAGTTTCATTTGCCGTCCACGTTGCTGGCGAACATTAGTTAGATCCCCGGAGGGAAAACAAACCTAATCCACCCATCCTTGGATTTGAGGGGTACCAAAATAAGCACACACACACATACCCGAAAAAGAGAAACCCCCAGATTTCCCCATGGTGCATTTTTCAACGTTGGCCTAGCGAAAACCAGCGACGACGAAGGCGACGTTTTAAACGATTTCCGCCAGGCATCTCATCCAGCAAAGCTGATAAGCTTTCCTCGCTCGGCAGATTCCTGAGCGATCAACCATGGTCCAGCGATGAAAATCCGGCCGGTTGGGACGAGATTCCATGGGGAGGATTTCTTGCTCCAATCCTTGACATTGCAGGATTTTCGGGCTGCAATTCTGGACTCAACTGGTCGGCTGTTTGGTCAACTGGTTGATTTGACAAGCAAAATCTGTTGTATGGTTAGAGATCTGTTCCTCGAATTCAGCCCATATTGATGAGACTATACCACATTTCTAAAGGAACGT